GGGTTTCTCCCTCTAGCCATTTGTCTCGAGCAGGTTAATTTCTCTCTTCTCTCTCTATCTTTTTGTTTACCATCACGATTTCCTGCTTATGTTCGTTTCGCTGATCTGTTGATTCCGACTAAAAATTTGCCTCATGTGTTGATAATGTTTTTTAGATCGTCTTCGGGGAGCCTCCGTGCTAGGTCTTCTCCGGTTTCGTCCTTGTCTATTTCTAGATCTGTAAGTTACTATGCATCATTGCGGTTTCGATTTGATTCCTTTCGAATTTCATTTGGTTATGATCTTCGTTCCACTTGCCTCTGTTCAATTTTCGCTATGTCTGTTTACAATTCGTTTGATTAGATCGGTCATAGTATCGTTGAATCTCTCTCGCTCGGTTTGTAGTCTATTGTTTGAGTTATGCACTCTTTTCCGATTGAAGAAGTAGATTATCGCGCTATGTTAGGGTTATACTTTTGATCTCGTAACTGGTGACGTTAAATCCATAGAATGTTTCCAAATATTGATCTACATGGAATATATGTGTATATCAGAGTTATGGCGGAAGCCATGGGCACATTTGTGAACACTAATGTTGTCATTTTTAATGGTTGTTTTCCTGATGTTCAGCTGAGGCAGTGAAAGGTTGAAGTAGTTGACTCCTGGAACCATGATGTCCTTCGAAATGAATGACCGGAAAAGTATGTCAACATTGTGATTTCCTGTAAATAATTTGTATCCAAGTTACTTAGTTTTACTATAGTTTTATAGTGTCATCTTTTGCTCATTGTGTTCTTGAGCAAAATAGATCATTGAATGTTATGCTATTGTTGGAACTTGGAACCCATTGATTTTCAGTATATCTTATTATCCGGGTACAAAGTTACTCCTACTGAACTTGGTTATTATCGTTTTGTTATGTGATTTGAAACAGAAATCGGGTTAGGGCTGACAGGATTTGGCGTATTTTTCTCGTTTTTGGGGATCGTCTTTGTGTTTGATAAGGGATTACTTGCCATGGGAAACGTAAGTACCTCAGAACTGTCTGTTTATTATGCTTTCACTGCTATTCTTGCTTGTTTTGGAAATGTTATTGAGCTTTCTTTTATTTTTTGGTCTCCTTCAGATTCTTTTCATCTCTGGGGTTAGTCTAACCATTGGCCTCAAGTCTACCATGCAGTTTTTCATGAAGCGTCAGAACTATAAGGTTTGTTTGGTTTCCACTTTTCTCTTCCTATCCTGTAACTCTAGCTCAGTGAGACGAGGTGTTTACATAGTTCTTTATATGTTATCCACGCAGGGAACCATATCTTTTGGGATTGGCTTCTTCTTTGTAGTCATTGGATGGCCTATCATGGGAATGATGTTGGAGACCTATGGCTTTTTTGTACTCTTCAGGTCCGTTTACTTGCTTTCTTACTGGTATTGCATGTGGAACCGTAGACAGTTACTAACTGTGTTTTCTATTTCAGTGGCTTCTGGCCAACCTTGGCAGTTTTCGCACAAAAGATACCTGTTCTCGGATGGATAATTCAGCAACCATATATAAGATCGGTATGTGTCCAATCAAAATTCACTGCAAAAGAAAACCTTTTCAATTGTTTCAAGAAGTCAGAACATGAAAGATAAAACTTTTTCAATTAATCCATGTGAACTGCTCAAGCTTGGTGGGAATGATGGATAACTCTGATCAACATATTGAACTCGTATAATTCCCAGTTTCGCCTTTCCAAATTCCAATGATAATTCTCTCTTTGTTTCTGATGATCTTGAGGCCTAGTTTTTGCGTAGGTTCCATCAACTTTAACTATTGCTCTGTTGCATAGTCCGCCAATTCTTGACTAATTGATTGATCGACTTGTTTCTGCTTATGTGATCACAGTTCTTTGACAAGTACCGTGGCAAGCGTGTGCCTGTCTAGATGCCACCCGACTCGAGAGAGAATTCACTCAGAGATAGATGCAGCGGAACAAGCGATTAATTGGAAGAAGAAGTTGGTAATGCTTGCCTACAACTCCTGTAGAAAACTAAACCCATAGGAGAAAGAAAATAGCGTTGGAGTAAAACATACGGACTTTGAAGCTGTGCGTGTAAGTGTACTTAAAAAGACAAACTCAGTGACTTAAACCTCTTTGATGGATTTGTAATCGTTTATTCGTTTAAGGTTTTTTTCTTTACTTGGCAGCATTAATCGTTTGGGTTTGCAGTTGCACAGTGTAGCAAAATTAAACCGATTAACGGTTCCAGTTTAATCTACGATTCTATTTTGGTTCGGTTTATTCACCAGACCGATATTAGAGGCCCTCTTCTTGGGACCGTTGCACTGTTAATCGTATGTCGACGTGGCAGTTAATGAGTGGTTAATATACAAAATCTCAGTGCACCTAAGCGTACTGTATCATTTCACTATTTTGTTTTCCCCCGAAAAATAAAAGAAGATACCGTCTTTTCTAGCCGTTGTGGGGGGGGGTTTGAAATTGAATCATCATCACTTGTGTTCTTTCTCATCATCGC